ATGCTGAGACCAAGCTGTTTTACCCAGTCTCGGGGTGAACCATGTGCTTCATGAAAATTATGCTCGAGTCCTATGGTCCAGTTTGGATTGGCGGATTGTAACCGCCCGAATACATATTTGTAATCGATCTCACCAGGTGTGTTCGGCTCATCACGTGAAGGGACTTGGGCGATCTGTATGTAGCCTAGAACAGAACACACGAAATCGAATATTTACGGCTAGAAACAAAGCGCTGCAAGAGGGCGGGGTTGATCTTACCTATAACATCTTTGTACTTTTCTATAGTGGCTGATATTTGCCCACAGATCTGTTGGGCGTGGAAAACATCCTGAAAATTGGCATTAGCTTGGAAAAGAGTGTTATTAAATGAGAAGAAAACATCACATTATTGTGCTGTCCTGGAGCCTCATTGGAATATGAACGTGAAAACATGAAGAGGCACCAAAACTTTATTGCCCAGAAGTTTTCTTGCGGAACTGTTTCTTTCTTCAAATATTTCGGTGCCTACAAATGCCACCTTCCTCAGCGATATGAAACACAGCAATTAGAGTGGACTGTTATTATGTTGCTCCTCAAGACCAGGATCTTGCCTCCGCTGGTATGGTGGCTACCCAAGCAAGGGTAGCTACTCCATACTAGCGGAGGCAGCACCATAACAATCCATTTTAGTGCTGCATTCCAGATCGCTGAGGACGGTGGTATTGTATGCACCGAAAATATTCAAAGAAAGAAATGACTTTACAGAAAAACTTCTGGATTCTTTCTTGGATCTTTGGAGTCTTCTGCAATAAAGTTTTGGTGCTCTTCATAATTTCATATTGAGAAGAATATACTTACATACTGAATCTTCAGATTTGGCAGTTTCACGGCGTCAATGATGGTTTTCGCTGTAAAGAAACATTTTCGTTGGTGACACGAGTTAATCATACATTCAGTACCCTATCAAGAACCTTGCTCATACGAGGAAAGATAATAGCCAGGGACAGTGTAGTGATTGATCGGTTCAATGAGACACATAATGTCTGCCTGAAAACAAAATGTTTGGGCAGGACAAATCGAAACAAAGAAAAAATTGTGCTGCTTTTTTCCGAAGAACTTTCCCCCACTTTGCCAAGTTTCTCCGCTGCATAGGCAACATTATCAAGATACAGCTTCGGAACGTCTGCCGCTGAGCTGGTAGGAATACCAGCCATAACGTGGACTCTAAATGCCTAGATATGGTGTTGTTTTAAGAAGAAACAGGCGATGTAAACCGTTTCCAGAGCACCAGGGCAAAAAATGGTGAGCAAAACGTTCCCCTGCAAACCCTAGGAATCCCTTTCTCTTTCCCTTAGATTACT